TATTATTATTATTATTATTATTATTATTATCTTTGTGCAGCAATCCTCTACCAGGAGTACAGCGACGTTGCCATCAATCGAGAGATCCAGAGGCAGCAAGGCAAGGAGCCAGGAACAGAGGAGGAGGGTCTCAGAGATGAGAGTTCAGACGGGACCCCATCTCCATCCAATCTGTCTCCATCCAGCTCCTTTCGTTCCTCTCGAGGTTCCGCCTTTGCGCTGTGGCAGGACATACCTGATGTCCGAACCAGCGGACAGCTTGACAACTTCAGCAATGAGGAGAGAAAACTGCAGGAGGTGAAAAAAACATCTATCATTTGAATTTCCATAGATTCTCCGCTTGACTGTCTTAATCCGTTCTTAGGCCAAGTTTGAGCTGGTGACATCTGAGGCGTCGTACATTCGCAGCTTGATGATCGCCGTGGACCACTTCATGTTGTCTCAGGAGCTCGCTGAGTGTCTTGGCGCTCAGGATAAGCAGTGGCTCTTCTCCAAGTTGCCTGAAGTCAAAGATGTTAGTGAGAGGTGAAGACAAATGGAGATGATTGCCTCTGCTGCTGACAAGTCTGTGCTTTCGACTGTCATTTCCCCTCTCTAAGCACGTTTGTCTTTCACTCATCTGTAGGTTCCTGCAGGATCTGGAGCACAGGCTAGAGGAAGACATTCTCCGGTTTGATGTGTGTGACATTGTTCTGGATCACTGTCCAGCTCTGCGAAGGGTCTACTTACCATATGTTACCAACCAGGCTTATCAGGAGCAGACATACCAACGATTGTTGTGAGTCGTTGTGGGAAATATGTCTTTTAGTAGCCGCTTTGGTCAAACCTTGTGACTGACATAAATGGATCCAATCCATCCATTATATGCTGCTCGGTCCGTAGTCGGGTCGTGGGGCCAGCAGCTTGAGCAGGGAGGCCCAGACCTCTCTTTCCCCAACCACCTCTTCCAGCTCTCCTGGGAGGATTCCAAGGGGTTCCCAGGCCAGACCAGAGATATCTATCCAGGAGTCTCTCCAGCGTGTCCTGAGTCTACCTCAAGGTCTCCTAACAGTTGGACATGCCTGAAGCACCTCCCTAGGGAGGAATCTAGGGGGCATCCTTACCAGATGCCCGAGCCACCTCAACTGGCTCCTCTCGATGTGGAGGAGCAGCGGCTCTACTCTGAGTCTCTCCCAAATAACTTAACTTCTCACTCTCTCTACGGGAGAGTCCAGCTACCCTGCAGAAAAAACTAATTTGGACCTCCTGTATCCTCAATCTCATTCCTTTGGACACTACCCAAAGTTTGTGAGCATAGGTGAGGGTGAACATAGACCGAGCATTAAACAGAAAGCTTTTCCTTACAGCTCAGCTCTCTCTTCACCACAATAAACCGGTATAGTTTGCAACACTGCGGAAGCAACACCGATCCGTCTCTCAGTCTCACGCTCCATTTTTCCCTCACTCAAGAACAAGACTCCAAGATACTTAAACTCCTCCACTTGAGACGGAACCTCAACTCCCAACCYGGAGAGAGCAATCCACCCTTTTCKGATTGAGCTCAGATTTGGAGGTGCTGACACTTCAGCTGCGAACCGCTCCAGTGAGAGCTGAAGATCACAGCACGATGACRCCARCAGGACCACATCATCTGCAAACAGCAGCGATGGAATCCTGAAGCCACTGGACCAGAYTCCCTCTGACCCCTGGCTGCACTGAGAAATCCTGTTCATAAAAGAAGCKGTGACAACGAGCATTCCTGATTGAAATCTAACTCCCATCCTGAAGGTGTCGGACTTATTCCTGGCAATGCAGAAAAAACTCTTTCAGCGCTTGTATAAGGACTGAATGGCAATCCCATACTCACGGAGCATTCCCCACAGTGTACCTCGAGGAAYATGGTCAAATGCTTTCTCCAATATGTATATTGATATAATATGGATCTCATTCATGCATAATGAGAGATCTGTTAGCACTCAGATTATGTGTTGAAGACGACAACGATGTTGATGATAAGGTTGCTTAGCTGTGATGGCCATCTTTAAAGTGGTTCCAAACACTATTCAGTTAATGTTACTTTTGATCAAAAAGACTTAGAATATCGTTTTATTTTTTTTTACTGACAAGTCACTGAGGTTTCTGTAAATTTGCTCTCAGGCAGGAAAACCCTCGTTTCCCGGGCATCCTGGCCCGCTTGGAGGAGGACCCCATCTGCCAACGACTTCCTCTGGCCTCCTTCCTGATCCTCCCATTTCAGAGGATCACACGGCTTAAAATGCTGGTGGAGGTATGTGATTAACGTGGCTAAGTGTTTTTTTTTCTTCCTCCACCGATGCGTAATAAATCTTCAAAACCGTTTTTGTTTTCCAGAATATCTTGAAAAGGACGACACCAGGCTCTCGGGATGAGGACACTGCCACAAAGGCTTTCAACGAGCTAAAAAAGGTGATCGTCACCATCTCTTATGAYCAGTTGGAGCGGTATCATTACTGACGGTAATAACCATGTTGGCGTTTGTTTTCTTAGATCATCAAAGAATGTAATTCCAGTGTGCAGTCAATGAAGAGGATGGAGGAACTGATTCATCTGAACAAGAAAATTCACTTTGAAGGCAAAGTGAGATAAGTTTAATGATTGAGGATAAAAAACAATAAGTTCTCAAACAATATAAAGTAGTGTCCCCATTTAAATTTTAAATTTGCTTTAGTGGTTCAGTGTTGCTTTAGTGGCTGACTGTTTTCTTTTTTGTTTGTTTTGTTTTGGTTTGGTTTTTTTCCTGCAGATTTTTCCTCTCATCTCTCAGTCCCGCTGGCTGGTGAAACACGGTGAACTCCTGGAAGTGGACACTCAGATGATGAGTATTTCAGGATCCAAACTCAAGCTGCCCACTAAGCCTGTGTACCTCCACCTGTTTAATGACTGCCTGCTGCTCTCCAGAAGGAAGGAGTGAGTGACGCAAAAACACCATGAGGGGAAAATGTTACGACTCAWGTTTGTTTCATGCAGCGCTAACATGTTAAATGAGTTAATGTGATGAACAAATTATTGACTTTTTTCAACAGATTGGTTTACACCAGTTGTAAAGTCATTTTCATATTTTCTAAGGTTGTAGTTTTGTGTTTAAATATTAATACAAACTAAGAAATTTAGGCCATTCCATTCAAAACATGGAGCTCTCTAGTTTAAAGAAATGTTCACAGAAAAAAATTGTGGTTTCATTAACATACATTTATTGGGCAAATTATGAAAAGTATGGTGACGATCTTCTTAAATGATTCCTGTACAAAAAACTTTCTAAATGAATGATATAAATCTATAATTATTAAATAATTTTACCTTTAAAAGTGCAATGAAGTTTGCAACGTTGAAAATCATATGCTAATACTACAGCAGTAGCTAAAATTAGGAAAACAGTTGCTAAAGTAAGATAACAGAAAGGGAATGGAAAATTACCAAAATAGATGCTTAAACTAAATTCAACAAAATTGTAGCTAAAAGCTAAAATTGGTAGCCACAAGTAATCTCAGCAAGACAAAATAAATCAAGTATCCTGAAGCAGTTTTTTTTTTGTTATCTAGTTAGGGGTGCAACATTACATGTATCTGTATTAAATTGTTCAATACAGTGCTTCAATACACACATTTTTAACATTAATTTTACYAGCTTGTCTTCTGAAGATGCTCTGTGTTGAAGGCTCACAGGATCTGTGTTCGACTTCTCCACCTGGGCTGCATTGTCGAGCACAGATCCACTAAGAAACTTGCTGTTTCAGCAACATTTCAATTAAAACTGTACTTTTGAGATTAAACAAATGTTCATAATAATTTCAAAAAAAATTACAAGTTAAGATGGCATGGAAATTTCTCTTTCTTGTATCGAAACAATATCGAACTGTGGGACTAAAGTTTTGAAGCGAATTGTGAATTTTCTGTATCGTTGCACCCCCCTGGAGGGTTATAAATATGTATTAGAAAATATTCTTTGTTTTTTGAGGGGTATGGAAAGTAAATAAACACGTTTCCCCTTCAGCACATGGAAGTTCATGGTGTTCGTTCACGCTAAGATCGGTGAGCTGAAAGTGAAGGACCTCAGTCTGAAACTWCAAGGAATCTCAGGCTTCATCTTCCACCTGCAGCTGTGTGACGGCCAGCAGCTCAAACATCAGATCCTGCTCAAATCTCACACAGAGTAAGAAACATTCCCGCTCATCACTTCTCTGCTATGGCTTCTCCCCGTGATGGTTTTGTGTCTGCTTAGGAGCGGTAAGCAGAGATGGATCACCGCCATGTTTCCGTCTGACCCACTGGAAGACATCGAGCAAGCAAATGAAAATGATGGTTAGATTTTTAAATACACAATTAACTAATGGAAATCCTCACATTCATTTTTGTTTTCTTTTTTTAAAGTCACACCTTTAATTTATCCTTCTTTTCTCATCTCTTATTGCAGATATAGCCCAGGTTCAGTGCACCAAAAGCTACCAGGCACAGGAGCACGATGAGTTAACGCTGGACAAAGCCGACATCCTTCATGCGAAGACCATTACGAGTGACGGTGAGAGTCCCCCACGTCAACACATTGATGCTTGGTCAGGTAGCATTCTGCTAWGGAAAGCACAAAGCGCCACAAATTGCCACTTTACAACACGTTAAACTTAAAAAAGCGGTGTTTAAAATGCTGTTTAATATACCAGAACACTGTAAAATACGCCGTATGGTTTGATTTCTTTGTATGTATGGATCACTTGGGTTGTTACCGACATCTGGTGAAAATTTCATGTCATTAGCACCTCTAGTAATATATTTACTGAGAAAAATGTTGACGTGTTCAATACTTATTTTACCCRCTGTACAGCCCATCCCTGACCCCAGAATCTCAAATTAACCATTAATCCTGATCCCTCAWATTAACTTCAGAACCCCAACCCAAAGACTCTTACGTAACGCAACCTGGAAAAGCCGCGGGCGGCAAGGACTGACGCACGGGGGGTGCCCGACACGTCAAAACTGGACGCAGACGGTCCCTGCCCAAGCGTCAATATGTAGACGAGTCCGACATGAGAATGTGTCAGATGAACTGATTCCCAGCTTCATTGTGAATGTGGAATGAAAGTGTGAGTAAATTATGTGGATGTGTGTTTGACRTTTTAATGCGTTTGACCAGGTTGGGTCGAGGGCATCAGACTGTCAGACGGGGAGCGGGGCTGGTTCCCCAAAACCTACGTGGAGGAAATCACGAGTCGCAGTGCGCGCCTCCGCAACCTGCGGGAGAACATCCGCATCAAATGTGTCACACAGAAACTGAAGGGTGAGGACTGAGAAACCTGCAAGGAAAACAAATGTAAAAAAGCAGCATTTTTAAGCTTCAAGATGATTGTTTTAATTTTAGAACGACTGGGAGGCCTTTGTGTAGAATGTAGGTGCAAAAAACAATCCCAGTGTTTCCACTGTTCTTTGCGTGATTTCAAAACCACACAGCTTCAGTTTCCTGCAGCAACTGTTTCCTTTTGGTGCTAATTTCACATTTTTTGTTAAAAAAACATTTCAACCAGCATAAATGTGTAGACGAGGGTCATTTTAAACAAAAAGTCCTGAGTTTCTCTTTGTGTTTTGCTCCCAAAGTATCAGAATTTCTTCTAGTTTTAGCTTTAAGCAGCAGCTCTCCTGGGATTATATTGGATTGATATTGAAATTCTTCGTTTTCAAAGAATATGCCATTAGCAATCAGTTCTATTTATTTCAAGACCTTTCTGTTGTTGTTTCATGATTACTGTGGGGTCCAGACCCCAACAGCATGATCTCTTTGAGTATTACCTTCTTGGTTTTTATGCCTGATAAATTATTACTTTTTTAATAGATATAAAGTAAAGTAACAAATCAAGGCTGTTTGAGAGAAGATGTTTGCAGGAGTTTTGCTCCTTTGATGCCAAACATAAAAAAAGAGCTAGCTCAGGACTTTTGCAAATGACTGTTTTTCTGTTTACAAGTTAAATAATTTAGCGTTCGACACCAAAAGCAGCTATTTTCAGTTTAAAGTCTGACCTAGAATCTATAATTTGTTTGTTAGTCAGAGGGTGACGAGGATCCTCATTACCAACAACACGAGCAAGTATTTGAGTAAATTTCTCGACATCGACTCCAAACATCCTTCATTTGATGAAAATAGAATCCAGCTGATGCACTACGATGCACCGTTGAAAGGATTGTTCGGTTCTTAAAATAGTTTTTCCCAGTTAAGTTMAGCATCACCAACTTGTAGCTCCTCTTTGTCAGAGAGAAAATACGAAACAGTGCAGTAAAACTGAGCTGACAGCTGTCGTTAATGAACCACTATAAACACCAGTAAATCATAAACCTTTCCAGTGGCACATGAAATGTTTAACTTTTTATAGACTTTAGTTGWTGGCTGTAATTTAAATGGTTGCTGTTGCACCACGTGTATTTATATTTCTCTAGAATCTGATGTACATATATATTTTACCGTAGAAGACATTGTGTATAAAGAGTAGGACGCGTCTTGTTAACTTTAATAACTGTAATTTATATGTCAAAAAATATTTGATTAAAGAACTAAAACACAAACTTCACAATCGGTTTCAATCCCGACACAAAAACTACTGTAACACACTGGATTGCTGCGCACTACTGTACATTTTTAACTCTGAAATAAATACAGACATTTGCATTATTTTGTGTGTAATAAATGACTCTGTAGCGTTTATTTAAAAAAGCATTTATTGGTGAAGAGCTACTTACATATATGTACAGTTTATGCATCTAGATCATGAGTCAAACTCAGGGCCCGCAGGCCAAATGTGGACTGCCACAGCAATTTATGTGGCCCCGCGAGAGCTTTAATGATGTATTAATGTCTTTAAAATAAGCTGCTTTAAAGCCAGCACTGACCATAAACTACATCTCCCATAATGCATGTTGATCGTTTACTGTGAAATGACAACATCCAACCACTAGGTAGAGGTGCTCTGGGTTCAAAAGTAGCCGGCAGCCTGCAAAATTCAATTTAAAATCTTAATTTCTCTACATTTTAGGCTGCCCAACTGTACTGGGAAGTGGGAATTTCCCACTTACAAGTCATATAATTTAAACTGGAACTCCCCCTCCAGTGAAAATTCCCTGTTTGAAAGTTCTGAATTCAAGTCAGCAGCTTCTCACAACTTCTCATTTAGTAAAACTTCTTCTTTTTATTAGTATTTCTGTATCATTAATTCCACATTTAGTCAGTCATACACAAAGTACTTTTCAGTGTTTTTAAGAGGATGTRTTCAAATGCTGTTTCCATGCATGAAACACCACAGAGTTCAGTTATTGTYTGTTAGCGGTGCTCAGCCGTATGAGACGAGGAATGTGACGTTTTGCTTTCAGTCAAAGTTGAACACAAAACATCAAAGTTAATTATAGCTGGCCCTATGAGGGCCACCATAATGCTCTTGTGGCCCTCGGTGAAAATAAGTTTGACACCCCTGATCTAGATCTTCTAACAATTCTGCAACTATGTTCCTCTCCTAAACTGGATCATGATTTTATTTTTTGTATCAGTATCCTTCAAAAAATAAAAAATAAAAATCACCCAAACGTCAAAATTCAGGTAACATTTCCTTCTGCTACATCCTTTTTATCGTGGCTCATTAAAGTAATAAATACATTATGAACATGCGGTACCACTTTACAATACGGGTCTTTAATGGACAAATTATTCATGCTTTATAAGTAGGTTGTTCATGAGTTTGTAAAGRTTTTATGAACCATTGTAACAATCACACTGTTCATACACTGAAGCGTGCTCAGTTCTGTTCTACAGACAGCCACTAGGGGGCGCTTGTCCTTTGTGTGTTTTATAAATCATTGTAAATGCTGTACAACCCCATGAYTAACCTCTTTATAAGACATTAATAAATCCCCTAATACGATGTGGTACCAAACATGTTTTTACATTACATATGATTTTAAAGATTTCCTTCAGCCTCTCCCATTGATGTGGCACTGCTCGGCTGCCATGATGGGCTCCTGGGACGGCCTCCTGTTCCTTTGCAGCTTCGGCATGATGGCAGGCGGAGGGTGGCTCGCAGTAACGCGACTGCTTCTGTCAGGCTGTGGATCAAAAAACAAATTCTTGTTTTAATTTTGACCTATTTGGTTGGCAGCAGCTGGGCACTAACAGACAAGGTGAGATGCTTGTTTAAAAGTACGACGCACAAACAAAACAAGTTCATTGTAGCATTGTTTTATTTGGCCAATCAAGGTCTAACCAACACGTTACTTCTCTCTGCTCCACTGATTGTTTTGACTGTTTAGTCATGGTTTTGGTCTAAAGCTCGTGCTTTTACAAACAGATCTGTCTCACCTGCTGGAGCTGAAAAATCCAGTTCTGATAGTCCTCCAGGCAGATGCAGGAGACCTGCAGAGGCTCCATCAGCTCACCTGGAACACAAACAGCAACACACAAATTCAGTCCCTGCACTGTTTGTCACATGAATAATTACATTAATTCAATCAGATAAAAAAGTCTCGATGATGATGATGATGATGATGATGATGATGATGACTTGTGTGTGTACCTGGTTTTTGTTACCTTTTTAGGACCTTTTCTGAAGTAGCTACCTTGATAGAACCAATAGTCGAACATTATTTTGGGTTGGGTTTAGGACTCAGGTGTAAATTGAGTTTAGGTTAAGATTAGGGTTAGACGTGTGTGTGTGTGTGTGTGTGTGTGTGTGTGTGTGTGTGTGTGTGTGT